GTTTCCGAGGGTAAAAAATGGGTTTCCGAGCCTTCGGAAACCTTTTTCGGCCGGTTTCCGGGAATACCTTTTTTTTTAGAGTGTAGTACCAATCAATTCGTATATCTTTAACTATTAACTATCACTAATCGAAATTTCATCAGTAGAACCATTATTAATGGGGTACTAAAGAAAAAATAAATAATCCATGCAAATTGATTTATCTATTATATTCGCATATGTAAATATGCATCATTTAAAGAGTAAACGTAAACACTTTTAATAGCATGAGCCAACCAATCAAATAAGAAATGTTTGATGCATATCTTATAGCGACGTCTTATGACTATTTATTGTTTTCTTTTCGATATTCTTCCTTTCGCTATTTTCTCATTCGATATTTTCCTCATTTTTTTTCTATATTTTTCCTTTCTTCCTTTTTCCATTATACCATTTTAGTCATTAAATGGATATTTAAATTTCAATACTAATTTTAATACTCAGAATTTATAAAATTTTTATGATACAATTAAATCTTTAAATAATTTTTGAATTATAAATTGTCATCATAAAGAATGTTGTACACTCTTCTCAATACACGTACACCAAGGTTTTCTTTTCATTCTGTCGTACGCATATATATATACATATATATACGCATACGACAGAACGAAAGGAAAAAGGAAAGAAAGAACAAAAAAGTTTTTCTTTCGGTATTTTTTTTTAATATTTTTTGCTTCAAGTGTTTATTTTCAGTCTTTTCTTATTCATATCGTTTTTTCTTATGATGATTTTCACCCTTCATTACTCATGCGATACGACGCACAAACCAAAACACTTCCGATACTTTGCTATGAAATATTTCATCGAATAGATCACATACATTATATGTTGTGTACCTTATTTAGATTACTGTTTCTGAATTAAAACCAATTTTTAAATTATCATCTACTATGATAATAAAAGTCTGTTAATTATGGCATCATTGCTTCGCCAAGTAAAATTGCTAAAAATGAATAGTGTATTCAAATTTTTAACTTTCGTTTTTCTAATTATTATTATTTATATTATTTATTATTCAAAATGCACATAAAAATCACCTGGTAACAAATGCTTATCTCAAAGTATATCTGATAATCAATATTTACCACAAGAGACATTTTCTACTAAAACAATTAATAATATCTCAACAGAAAAACCAAATTATGGTAGACCAAATTTAGCTAAATATATTCATCTAGATTTAAAAGGTGCACCACCAAAACCAAATAAATTTTATGGATCCTTTTTTAATTTTCTTAAAGATATACAAATGGGTGTAAAAGGTGTATTAATTGAATATGAAGATATACTTCCATTAGAAGGAAATTTTGTTGATGTAAGTATAAATAAATAATTAAACTATTGAAAATAAAGACCATGTCTTTTCTTTTAAAAGGTTATTCATCAAGCAGGTTATAAAAAATCTGATATAAAATTAATAGAAAAAGCTGCAAAAGAAAATGAAATTGAAATAATTCCACTTATTCAAACATTTGGTCATTTAGAATGGATTCTTAAATTAGATAAATTCAAATCTTATCGTGATCATCCTAATTTACCATTAGTTATTTCACCATGTCTTAATGCTACTTATGATTTACTTCAAGGTTATTTAGAAATTTTCTATTGAAAAATTTTCGAAGAAATGTTTTGAATTATTTAGATCTTTTACAACAAACACTTGACATGCATCCTAATAGTAATAAAATTCATATTGGTTGTGATGAAGTTATGTTACACAATGTTCATAAACAATGTCATGTAAAACAAATGAATAAATCTGAAAGATATATTGAGTAAGTAAGGAAAAAGATTAATCAAAGAAATCTATTGAGTTTTTTGAAGTCATATTCGACGCATTGTTAATATTGTTCAGAAAATTCGACCGGGAATTCGCGTACTTATTTGGGATGATATTCTTCGACATGATGAATTTACTAAAAATGAAAAATTGGTAAGACTCTAATGAGAATGATTGTTTTGTGGTTACAGAATTTTTTTTCGATGAGATATCGAGATAAATATTTGACGAGATGAAGGCACACCGTACAGTGGGCAACCAGGCGGACATGACCGAAAGTTCACTTTTCTAAAGTTCAAATATTGAAATAGATATATCTATAGTTGGTCTATCTAACCCTAAAATATGATCTTCAGAAATCAAGTCAAAGGTTGGAAACGCCCATTGCAAAAAATGTGTTCATAAATCGGTAATTATATGAAACATCATTTCTACCGCCAATTTATCAAATCATTTTAGAACGAAAAACCTATCGGAAACGAATAATTGGCTCATAAACTTCATTGTGTGAAAAAATTGTTACGAGAGTGCTAGAACTGGAATAGCAAAACACCGATTACTGGGCCGAAAATAGGTCAAAAAATTAGTCATGTCGTATTTTCTAAACGTTCAACACAATCAGACACGTACCCAGAAATTTTCTGAAGGAGAGGCCCAAGTTCGGAGCGGGAGGGCTCGACTACAGGAAAATAAAAAAACTTTACTGGACAAAAAGTATTCACCCATACCCCTACAGGTGCTTTCTATCTTGACGGAGATCCGGGTCCCATGGACCATCCCCTTCGGTACGTCTCTGAACACAATTTAAGTACGATTTAGCTCAAACTTTCACTAATTATTCTTCTATATGCGTTTTATCATTGGCCATAGCGCCAAGTCGTAACACTGAACAGAAACGGCGCTACCAGTTTTCCGAAAAAATAGGTTTCCGCCCTAGGATCGTTAGTTTTACGAATGCAGAAACACTTTAAAGCAAATTCAAGGTGATATTAGGATTCAGCTCGCCGAACTGCATCGAACCATGTATAACAGTAAGTGTTTCTCAAAAAACAAGTTGGTTTCTGTATTCGACAAGGTTCTGCAAACCAGTCTTTCCGGTTCTTTTAAATGCTCAACTCAATTCACGTCCAATTGATCTCAAACTTTCGCTGATTATTCCTCCATATCTGGTCAATCATTGATCATAGCGCCACTTCGCATCGACAAGTACAGCTGGCGCTACGGGACTTCAAAAAACCGAGGTTTTTGCTCATAAATCCCTATTTTTATAAACAAGGTATTGTCCTGGCGCAAAATCAAGGTGATATTTGGAATCAGTTCATCGAACCATATACAATAAAGAGCGTTGTTTTTTTAAATTTTAGTCTATATGCATGAAAACTTGAAAAAAAAAGAGTTCAACTGTAGTTTTCGAAAGGTATAAACAGTTCTCATCCGACTGAGCTGAGTCCTTTATTAATTGTGTTAATTTATCGTTAACTATATGTAATTTTTTGCATCAGCGACTATGGATTAGGCTAGGTTTCCCTCAAACACCGGGGTTGTTGCCCCCAAATCCCTTTTTCTTATCCTTAAAATAACATCTCAGCGACAAAGTAAGACAATATTCGTAATCAGCGCGTAAAACTGCGTTGAATGGTGTGTCGCACACTACATTTTCTGACAAAAGAATTTTTCTGAAAAATTTGGCTGGAGTCCCTCCAGGTGATTTTACGGAAATTTTTTTCCAAAAAAAAAACTGATTTATTTTGTTACAGATGATTTTTCAAGTAGTATACAGTTACTTCTGAACAATAAAAGCTCGGTTTAGAGCATGAAACTCACATGTCCGCCTATTATACGAAAGTTGCCCACTGTGCACCGGTCGATTTCGACAAGAAATCTCCGAAAACCAATGAAACTTGGATTTAGTATTATGAACCGGATTGTGACTAGTTGTTTAAGAATATTACTTTATTTTTAGCTTAGTCAACTAAAAGGTCTTGTTGAACCTGTTTCATGGAATTATCTTCCAACATTTTATGATTACTACAAAACTTTATCTGCTTGGAAGATTTATCCAAAATTCTTTGATAATATTTGGGCTGCAAGTGCATTCAAAGGTGGTGTTGATCGTTTTTCAATGACAACAAATGCAACACATCATGTATTAAATAATCGTCAATGGCTTCATTTTATGCAATCACCAACTTTTGATGAAAAATATTTCTCGGCTATCATACTTACTGGTTGGTCAAGATTTGATCATTTTATGCCATTATGTGATATATTACCAACAGCTTATCCATCACTTCTATATAGTTTACATATTTTAAATACAGATCAATTTCTTGCCAATGATCCATTTTATGATTGTGAGACTTTATTGAAATCAATTGGTAAATATCACCACTTATGTAAAACATTGCCAGGTAATATTATAAAAAGAAAAAACAAACAATTATTTTTATATTTTATATTAAGGTATGTCGATTTTTTCAAATATATCATCTTTATCTATGGTTGTTTCGAAAATTCAAAATCTTTTAAAACTGTTGTATGATACTTCACCCGAATATAATCGAAACCGTTCATTTGTACGTCGTTATGAACTTGATTCACAATTAACTGAATTAAAAGATTTTGAAAAAGAATTATTATCAACCAAAGAACAATTAAATCATACTCTATCAGATCTTTATTCACAAGATGTTATTGATGAATGGCTTGATCTTTATGTAACACCGATACAAAATCAAATGTATAAGGCATACATTGACTTTTCACCTGTATTTAATACGACATCATGGGGACGACGACCACTTATCTAGTGAGAAAATATATTGGTTTAGTTTATATTTTATAAACAAAACTTGAATAATTTTTTATTGGTTTTCAAATAATCAGTGAGGTTTCTACTACAGTTTTAATTTCAATCTTTTAGTTTTTAAAAAAACAATAAATGACGCTATTCAAAATTTGAAATATTCAGGTATTATTTGTATCAATATAATCAAGTGATATTTGTCGTGACTGATAATTATGAAGATAGAAATTTGTAGTAAATTACTAATGGTTAAAGTCAATTTGTTTGAAATAGAGAAAATCGTGAGTATCTCATTTCATCTACTT